TGCTTCCTCATAAAACCGGAGGAACGGTACCTGCGTCCCAGAGCTGTTGCGTGAGAACTGAGTTAATTCATGTAAAACTCTTACATTGCCCCTAACACACAGCAGGCCCCCAAAACCACGTGGTTGATGTCGCGCGGCGAGGCGAGGAGCCGTGACACCCCTGGGTGCCAGGTGCCTCAGCTATTCAGCTGTCCCCGCACCCAGTGTGTGAGGGGACGGAACTGGGTAGGAGTTTGCAGTTTCAGACCAGGAGGGAAGGTCTGATTCTTTTTTCCTAAATTATAACTCAGGTTCCCTTTGAATCAGACCCGGCTCAAAAACTTCCGCAGTCGCGTCGGTACCGGCTTTGCCGGAACCGTGAACAACCCCCAGCGCGAAAGCCGCACTGCAGGAGCGAGCCTGGCTGCGACCGCGCACGGGAAAGCTTTCGGAAGGACGGGTTTGAGTGTTCATAAAGGGTTTAAGGACTGGTGGACTTGGATGCGTGTTTGGGGAGGAAAAGGAGTAGTGAAGAATTGCCAAAAGCTAAATAATGGGTCCTAGATTTGAGGGGGTGCCTGCAGCCTGCTCAGAGCCTAAGGCATCACCGGTGGGCGCCCTTTTATGTGCTGCTGAATACAGTGCGTTCGGAACTCACTGTACCTACCAAATCCCCTTGTGTGAACTGGATTTAAGAATTACCTCTTCTGAAAGAAAAGGACTATTTTTGAAACAATAACAATTATTAAAAACAAACAAACAGGATTTGAATTGGAAAAATATTTTGTAGCCAAACCTCAGTATTTCTAATGATTAAGTTAAAAGTTTACCGGCCGCTGCATATGGACGGCAGTGTTGAAACACTGTAGTGTTACACTTGGATCTCATGCTCACTGAGCTCCTTCTTTCCAGGAGTGGTTCTGATTACCCTTTCCCTTCTTTCTTACTTTTCTTTCCCAATTTTATTTATGTTCAGTTAATTACAAAGTGATGAACTAAACATTCTCTTTATTGCTTCTCCTGTCCTTCCCTGCACCCTCTATCCACCCACGCAGGTCAACTCTGAGAACTGGGACTCTTCTAGAGAATTTGCCCAACAACTGTTTATCAAAGTGATTAGAAGACCTTAATCCGTAAAGAAATCTGTAATATCAATTACCAGGACATGGAAAAGAAGTGAGCTTACAGATAACTAACATTTCATAAAAATTTATTTTTGTTTAAATTATAACCTCATATTTTAAGATGTTTCATCCAAAGAAGTCATTCCTGAGTGTTAGAGTGGTCTTAAGCAGTGGCTGAAAATCTGACATTAGGGCTTCTTTCCTTGTTGTTTTCTCTCCTCTGATGCCATTTACATTTCTCATGGAATTAGTAAAACACTTGCAATCATTTTCACAAAGTACTTTTTTCACAATTGTCTTATTATTATTTCAGGCAGTGGGCTAGGAGGCCAAAAAGGTGAAATTAACATGGTTTTAATGAAACAGTTTAGATTATAGATTTATTTGAAAAATGTTAGCTATCTATGAAAAAGTGTCTCTAAAACTTGAAACTCATCTAGGTTTGTTGCATGTACCATAGAACTTAGAAGAGTAGGATGTATGAAAGAATTCATTCATTTACAAATTTGCTTTTGAGCACCCTACCCCCACCCCCACCCCAATGGGTTTAGTCTGTGTGAGGTTCCTAGTTGTCCAACTCACCATTTTAATACATAATATTTTTGAGAGGAGCTATCAAAATGATTTTGCTTATCCTATTAGTAAATGTTTAGAAAAATGTTACCTACTGTTGTTTTCAAGGAGCTTCAACCACTGATTACCATTGCAAAGGGTATCTTGTCTCCACTAACTAGAGGGAAGATCTACCAGGAAAGGGAGAAGGGAGGAGGTGGGTTGGAGTTACATGTCTGAGCACACTCTAGTATCTTTCAGACTACAGGCTTACTCTCCAAATAAGCCTTCTTTAATTTTACTTTTAAAGTGCCTTATGACCAAGGGAACTGTCAACATAAGAAACATTCAAACCTGTGAAAAATTTTGGTGAGTTTATTTGAGCCAGAACTGTTGAAAATTGCTGGGAAGCAAAATCTCAGCGAATTGAGATAATGCTCTGGAGAATGGTAGTTTTGCACCTTTTATACATTACAATCAAAAGAGGAGATGTACGTGAGATACATAAAATCCATTGGTGGTAGATATGGAGGAGGGAGAAAGCAAACTGGCAAAACCTCTGGGCTTGGATAAAAAGTAAAATGATAGACACATACTTCTTTTACTTAGGTGGGTGCAGGATAGTTAACAGTCAACAATTAACTCAATAACAATGAGGGGATTTGTTATAACAATAAGGTCTCAGCAGAGTGGTGCCTGTGCTTTGCAGGGTCTGGAAAAAGGAAAATTACTTTGACATTCTGAAGGTATGTTATCTTCAGGTGCAAAATGACAATAGACAGCCTCAGTTAAGGTAAAGACTGACCTTTGCCAGGGACGATACCGGCCACCGACATGACTACCCACCATAAACTGCTTAGTTAAAAAAAAAAGTTCTAATTTTAGACCATCCTTTGTGGTTACTTTAGGTCTCTGAGCTTGCAAGGCTGCCATGCAGACCTTCTCTGAGCTAGTCAGGTTAGCATGTGGCCCCTTTTTAATAAATCTATACCAATGCATTCATCTTCTGGCTGTTATGATAGATTCTGACAAGGTGGCTGGTTTTCAGATGATTTATTAATATATTTAAAGATTAACAGCTTGATAATAGATTAGTAGTTGTGAGTAGGATAGTTTATAATTATTTTGTTCCTCACTATTCTCAGAATAGTGTCTAAGAAAGAGGGGTATTTTTCTGGTTCATTGAAAATTGTATGTAAATGCTTTAATGAATAAAAATATCTATTTTTTCTCTCTTTTTTTTTTCTTCAAATTACAAATGTGTCATTTCTTTTTCCTGTATAGTTTACACAGAGAATTAGGTAGGGTCTGTTTTTCAAACTGCCTTGTGCAAATTTCTTCATTTCACCATTATGGTTTAATAACATTTAAAGCATTGGGATTAGACAGGTTGTCTCAGTCTTGATACTATTGATATTTTGGACCAGACCATTCTTTGTTGTTAAGGGGCTATCCTGTGCATTGCAGGATGTTTAGCAGCATCCCTGACTTCTACCCACTAGATGCCAATAGTACTCCCCAGTCATAACAACCAAAAATGTTTCCAGCCATTGCCAGATGTCCCTGGGGGACAAAAATCACCTTCCCCTCCTTTCCTGGTCTGAAAACCATTGCATAAGGCAATGTTGAAACATTTCTAAAGGGGAAAGGGGAAAATCAAGGTCCAACTGTCTATTTACAAACCCATGCTGAAATCTCAGAATTGTAATACTAATTTGTTAGAAACTCCAAGGGTTTTTGAAATTAAGCTTAAGGATATTTGTTTGCCACGTAGTATTTTTTGAAGAACCAGTTACAATCGATTAATTACAATTTTTCAATATGATGTTATTACTTGAAGGATACATATACCTCATTAAGAGACCATCAAAAAGAGCTGCTAGGCCCCTGGTTACCTTGCAGCTTCCTACACTTCCCTCACAAAGGCCAGGACGGTTTGAAAGAGAGATCTGGGATTTCTTGATTCCATTTCAGGACTGTAAAATTTAGTAAGTTTGATACTCTTTAGCAACTGAGTATCTTTAGGTGACCTCAACTGAGAAGTTTATGGGCTTGTTAGTGGAACAGCTAGGTGGTTACTTTTATGAATAAAAATATCTAATTTTTTCTCTTTTTTTCAAATTACAAATGCGCCATTTCTTTTTCTTGTATAGTTTACATACAATATTAGGCAGGGTCTGTTTTACAAACTGCCTTGTGCAAATTTGTTATTAATTAAAATAATACTGACTTCTTGCTTCCTTTAAGTATCCCTTCCCAGACTTGCTTGCTGTCAGCAAGGACAAAGCCTGAGAAATTTGGGAAAACTTGTAGTATCCTGTAGCTCTGGAGACTGAGCTTTGCATAAACTATTTCTTGCATAACTCCTAACCCCCTACTCTTTCTTCATCAATATATCTTTTCATCTTCTCTCCACTCCACCCTCACCTGGCAATTATCCTTTACCCAATGCACAGGACAAAAATGTTTAAAGGAACAGGTAAAAAAGAGTCTGTTATTAAAGTTATTCAGTAATCAACTTTTGTGGAATTGTGCCAGAGAGTTTAATGGCATTTAATGAAAGTTTGCTCATTTATTTTTTCTTACCTATCACTTGTCATTTTGTCCACACTCTGGGTAAAATTAGCCTTGTACCAGTGAACCAGGGAATTCTTAATTTAATATTAAGGCACAGTAGCTTTTTTGTAATTGGTGCCAACTTAATCTTCTGGCTGTTTCAAATAGCACCGCCTCTCAAAACCTCTTTTCATACACAAGAATTTTCAGAATTAACTGTTATTTGGAAACACTTTGCTATTAAAAATAGATGGGGAAGAACGTACACTCTTGAAAAGTCTATATTCATGATTAGAGCTGATAGGATAAGCCATTCCACTTTCATTTGAAATAATGTATGACAGTTAATTTTAAATTTATTTTACCTTGTTTTCTAAAAGTAAAATATGTTCCTATTTCATATTTTGAATATCCCACTGATTTCTGGAATACTGTGTATATAATAAAATATCTCCATAGGGCTTTGCTATTTTGTCTTTCCAGAACATGAAAAAAGCACTAATTAACTTTCAATGAGCACTAACTTTCAAGTTAAACTCTTAATAAGTACAGCTTCCTCTATTCAAATGGGAACATACTTCTGCAAAGCTGTGTAGTTAAATGTTTTCCAAATACTAACTGAAGTGTTCACAATAAGATTACTCGTTTACTAAAACAATAGAGCTGGAGGTTGATTTCTTGATTAAGGGTTTTATTTTGGACAAAAATGTTATCATAGCTCAATCTGAAGTCTTTGTTTTCTCTAGTAATTCTTTTCACAAATGTTCTACTTTCATTTAGAGTAAATTTCATTAAAAAAAAAATAACATAGCTAATCTACATTAGTCAAGAGATAAAAGGATAAGAAGTTTTTTGTTTTGTTCTATTTTGTTTTATTTTTATAAGCTTTTGGCTTATTGCATATTTCCAGTAGAAGGGTAAGGACAAACTCATAGAATGATTTCTACCTGGTTCTTCTTAATTGCTGTGTGGCGCCTATGAGGTGACCTCTACTGCTTGAGAGAGTGGCCTGGGAGAGAGAGCAAAGGGACTCCAACTGCAAAGAGCAAGACTGGGATGCAGCCAAGGGGCTTCATGGAACTTTTAGATTATATTTTCCTATCAGTGAATATCTGGGAAGAATTTTGTTTCCAGAAAGTTTACTAAAAGAGTGTTTATTTTTGTTCTGTGGTTACATGAAACTATAAAGCAGATTTTTACATTACTTAAGGGCATAAAATAGGTTAGACAATTTAAGTGTCT